GGGGTAGGAAGGGGTAGTGTGAGTGAAGTAGGGTGTCAGGAAATATAACAAGAGTTTTATTGCGCCAATTCTGGATTGTTCCAGAACACTATTTCCTCCGTCGTGGGTGAGGATATTATACTGAATGGTATCACGCATAATGCAAATGATGGTCACCAATGTCTACTTCAAGGATAAGCTTCCGCGCTCTTAGTTAGCACCGAGGGGGTCATCGATGGGGCAACGATTCCCTCGTGTTTGGACTAACTATACCACAGCATTCATAATTTATTGATCCGTTAGGACTTTGTATAGCGGTTCGCGGCGTGCATTGTTTCCGAAATACGTCTCGGTTTTCAAGTGGTCTTCAGGGTAAATAGAAATGGAGAAAACAGCCGTTACTTCTGCTGATCTGTTTCTGAGATGCTACTACGAGAGAGAGAGGGGGGCGGGAGGGAGTCGCTGGATGAGGTTGGGGAGTGGTGAGTCAAACAGAGAGAGAGAGAGAGAGAGAGAGAGAGAGAGAGAGAGAGAGAGAGAGAGAGAGAGAGAGAGAGAGAGAGAGAGAGAGAGAAGGAGGACAGAGACAGAGAGAGAAAGAGAAAGAGAGAGTTAGAGATATTGAGACAGATAGTGAGAAATAAAACAATTGTATGCGTGTGAATGTGTGTGTGTATGTGTATGTGTGTGTGTGTGCGTGTGTGTGTGTGTGTGTGTGTCTGTGTGTGTGTGTGTGCTTGTGTGTACAACCAACCGACCAACTTACCACCTAACCAACCAACTGACCTACCGACCGACCTACTGACCGACCGACAGACCAGTCAACCAACCAACCAACCAGCCAACCAATCAAACAAACAAATTTCTCACCGATGGACACCTGACCGTTGCTGTCGTGGGCTTTTAAAGATTGAGATTCCGTCTTCAAAATCTCGCTTTCCTTCGCCTGAAGCATTTTTTGGTACCTGCAAGAAATAATATAAACAACAACAAATAAACAACAACAAACAACAACAATAGAAAACAACAACAACAAACAACAACAACAATAACAAAACAAAGAAAACAGATTGCTCATTGTGGAGAATCCGGTCATCGTTTTCTGAACTGATTCAGCTCTATGAAGCACTCAGGGCGGCCCGCGTAGGAAAAA